TATGCTAGAATATTGATGAGGAGATATTAAAGGAATATTTTCATATAAATTTTACTTTTCTTGAGTTCCACCATTTCCGTACAAAAAATTAAAGGCATTCAACCACATTGGTAGAATATAATAAGATCAATAAACTCATAATGATTGTTATTTTTTCTCTTGTTTTAAGTGTTCCAAATTAAAAGAAAAGACACTACTATGGTTGACTAATGGGAAACAATGAACATATCTAATCCATATAATTCCCAAATAATTTGCTTGATTTCTTTACCTACAACAAATATATTTATTTATTTATTTCATCAATAATGGACGAAACATGCGAATATTATACAAGAAACAAATCAAATCTTATTATCTGCATACATGTTGTACCATTTATAACTCTAGATTCTCTCATTCTTCGTCTTAAATATTACAATTTGTTGCATTTGGAATCCAATTTTATACAAATAAGTGTAGCTTTATCCTATATTATAAAACCACAGTCTCCTTTCTTAAAATTAAAGTACATCTCTTGCATAAATTCATCTTTTAGATTTGAAAAGGATAAACATGCACTATCACTCAAAGGCTCAAAAGCCCTATTTTAAACAAAAAAATGTTGAAAAGACAAGGAGAAAGTATACATCTTCTTACATTTGACGAGAAAATTGGTAATTTATTAAATTAAAGAAAAAAAAGAAATATAAAATTTGGGTTTGATGAAAATAATCAAAATAAATTTATCAAATGAATTTTCAGATGAAAATCTAAGGTGAAAAGGTGGCTGTGATGGTCCAATCATATCCGAATTTGTAGCATGTGAAGTATATGTAGAGATCACTCAATAACTTTAAAGGTCTAAAGTTCCACAATACTCAAATGAGGTATTTTTATTGAGATTAAGAAAAAAAAAATTATACTGTCAATTGAAGATCATTAAATATATATTACCATTAGTTGATTGGAAATAAAAAAAATAGTTGAGAATTAACAATATTGTAAGAATGGATAAATGTTAAAAAAATTAGAGATTTATTAGATCTCAAATCAGAAAATACGTTATTTTATTAATTATCTTGATTTTTATCTATTTTTAATAAAAAATAAGATAAATAGTTAAAAATGAATAAAATGTGAAAAGTGAAAGAAAATAGATACTCGTCAAGCATTTAATTTCAGAAGTGAAAGAATATACTTATATTTTTGTTAATTATCTTAATTTTTATATATT